GACTCCAGTTTTGAAAGAAATTTTACTATGGGTGAAATGCTATCAGATAGCTTGTGAAAGGAAGAGTTGATCGTGTGGCAAACTTCACTGCTGTCTTATTTTAAGAAACTGCCACAGCTGCCCCAAACTTCAGCAACTACCACCTTGAGCAGTCGGCAGCCATGAACTTTGAGGTAAGACCCTCCACTAGCAAAAAGATTATGAATTTCTGAAAGCTCATATGATGGTTAGCATTTTTTAGCAATATTTTTTTAAAATTAAGGTATGTACACTGTTTTAGGGATAATGCTTTTGCACACTTAATAAACTACATCATAGTGTAAACGTAACTTTTGTATTCACTGAGAAACCAAAAAAAAAAAAAAATCATTTGACTCCCTTTACTGCAATATTTGCTTTTTATGGTGGTCTGAAACTAAACAAAATATCTCTGAGGTATACTTGTACAAGACTGACAGAAAACAACACTGTAGCTATAGTAAATCTTCCCTATCAATAATAACTTGAAATGTAAATAGGTTAAACTCCCCCATCAAAAGACATAAAATGGTTGAATGGATAAAAAAAGAAAAATAAGACTCAACTATGCCCTGTCTACAAGAAACTCACTTTAGATTTAAGGACACACAGAGGCTGAAAGTGAAGTGATGGAAAAAGATATTTGATGCAATTGGTAACCAAAGGAGAACAGGAATGGTTGCGCTGATATCAAACAAAATAGAACTTAAGTAAAAAAGTCACAAGAAGCAAAAAAGGATATTATATAATGATAAAAGTGTCAATTGACCAGGAAGATAGAACAATTATATATGTGTGTGTATCCAACATCAGAGTGCCTAAATATATAAAGTGAACATTGACAAAACAAAACAAAATACATATGGCAATACAGTAGGAGCCTTTAATACCTCATTTTAAATAATGGATAGAACATCCAGATGGAAGATCAATAAAGAAATGGAGAACTCGAACAATACAATAAAGCAAATGAACCTAACAGCATACATAGAACATTCTACCTAACAACAGCAAAATACACATTTCTTTTAAGTCTACACATATCTTTCTCCAAGATATATCAGATGTTAGGTCACAAGATAAATCTTAACGAATTAAGGAGGACTGAAATCATACCAAGTACCTTTTCTCCCCAAGATAGAATGAAACCAGAAATCGACAGCAAAAGGAAAACTGGAAAATTCACAAATACATGAAAATTAAACAACACATTCTTAAACAACAATGGGTCAAAGAAGAATTCAAAGAAGTAATTAGAAAAATACCTCAAGACAAACAAAAATGAAAACACAACATACAAAAAGTTATGGAATGCAGAAAAAATAGTATTGAGAGAACTTCATAGCACCTACATTAAAAAAAAGAGGAAAGATCTCAAATAAACCATCTAACTTTACATGCCAGTGAGATAGAAAAAGAAAAAAATTAAGACCAAAGTTAGCAGAAGGAAGGAAATAACAAAAGTCAGAGCAGAAATAATAAATAAAATAGAAAAACAATAGAAAAAAACCAATAAAACTAAAAGTTGGTTATTTGAAAAATTAAAAAATTGACAAACACTTAGACTAAGAAAAAAGCACACTCAAATAAATTTTAAAAAAGACATTATAATTGATGCCACAGAAATAAAAAGGATTGGGCTCAGTCGGTTAAGGATCTGACTCTTGATTTTGGCTCTGGTCATGATCTCAGGGTTGTGAGATCAAGTCCCAAATTGGGCTCAGCACGGAGTCTGCTTAAGATTCTCTCCTTCTGCCCTTCCCACTCCCTGCCTGGTGCACCCTTTCTTTCTCTCAATCTCTCTCTCACAAAAAAAAAAAAAGAAAGAAAGAAAGAAGAGAAAGAAAAGAGAAAACAGATCATTAGAGACTACTATGAAAAACTACTACTATGAAAGACTATTTTTTAGAGACTACTATGCCAACAAACTGGATAACTTAATAGAAATGGATAAATTACTAGAAATATACAATGTACCAAGACTAAATATATAAATATATAAAATAATATACAAAGTGTGTGTACATATATATATATATATATATATATATATATATATACACACAGTATATTTTTTCACAAGTTTTAGAGATTAGGACCTGGACATCTTCCTTTGAGGGCAGTTATTCTGCCTATCTATGAAATCATTAGGTAAATGGCAAGGAGGTATTAAGGTTGCAAATAGAGTTGCTAATCAGATGACCTTAAAGAGATTATCCTGAATTATCCTGGTTAACCCAATATGATCACAAGGGTCCTTTAAATGTGAAAGAGGGAAGCATAAGAGTCAGTGTTCACTTGATGCAGTTTGAGAATTACATGACTGACCACCAGCTTTGCATATGAAAGAGAGACTTGAGGCACAAACTTTGGGCACCTCCAGAAGCTGGAAAAGGCAAGGAAATGGATTGTCACCTAGAGCCTCCTGAAAGGAACATAGCCCTGCCAACACCTTGATTTTAATACACTGTGACCCATTTGGGACTTCTGAACTTCAGGACTATAAGATTATTACAGAACTGTAATAAATTAATTTTTTAAGCCATTAAAGCCACACATGTGCACACACACATATACATATGTGTGTTTGTGTGTCAGTGTCAGCTGGTGATAAATACTATGAAAAAAATAAATTTGATCAAAGAGGTATGAGTAGGAAAGGGTATTTTATATGGGGTGGTCAAGGATGAGGTAATGTTTAAACAGAAATGTGAATGAAATGAAGGAGCAAGGTATCTGGAAGTAAAACATTCAGAAGGGAAATCAGCAAGTACAAACTTCTCCAAGTCAGAAGTTTACTCAGCATTTTTGATAAATAGCAAAAGTCCAATATGGCTAATGGCTAATATGGAAAGTGAGTAAGAGGAAACCAGCAGGATATGAATACGACTGATGGTTACATAAGGGGTCGTTATTCTGATTGTTTTTGAACGGGGAGTGGCAACGAAGGCAAAAGGGGGGGGACTTTTATTTTTGCCTTATTATTTATGTTTTTTGATGATGATGCATTACTATTGCCTTGTTAAGAATTTTTATTACAACATAAAGGTACAAGAAATCTGAAGCACAGAAATGACAAATGTAAACATGAAGAATGTATCAGCAGGGTTTATATGATGTAGTTGGTTTAGTCCAAAAATTGAGGGAAAGGGGTAAGAAAAAAATCAAACTGTGCTGTTGTTATTTATTTTTTAAAATTTAATTTTATTTACATTCAATTAATTAACATATGCTGTTGTTATTTTAAGAGGTCTATTATCTATTTGCACTTTGATACATTTCTGAGTTTGCAATACATGTCAATAACAACATGTATAAATGTGTGTGCCCACACACATAAACAAATTTAGGAATCCTATGGTTGCTTGATATTGAATTACTTGGTCTGAAGGTGAATTTTTAAAAATACAGAATGAAGAAGATCACTGAATCCCTACCTACCAGAATATTTTGATGGTACTAATATTATAGAAACCCACAGTTACTATAGAGGTGTGGAGTAGAATTGAGAGCATGGGATTTGGAATCAGACTGCCTAAGTTCAGACCTTGGCTCCACCACCAGCTTTGGGACTGAGAAGGATTCATTTGCCCTCCCTGTATCTTAGTTTTTTTCCATCTGTAAAAGAGAGATAATAGCATCTGGCGGTGGAATTGTGGTAAGGAACAAATCCACTAAGAAGTATAATGCTAGGACAGTGTCTGGCATATAATATGTGCTCAATAAATGTTAGCTTCTATTGTTATTCTAGCTCTCCGGTCTTGATCATTAGACTGCAATTAACGTATTTTATGCATACTAACTTGCAAATATGCTACAAGGGAGCATTCTGGCAGTTTTAACTGTTTCAGCCAGATTGCTCTCACTCTACTATGTGATCATTGTACTTTGAGATCACTGGTACCCCTCAATGTTTAAAAGCAGAAAGAACCGAGCACACCATATTACCTTAGACTTGCATTCACCATTACCTTTTACTTGTGACTGCTATTCTGCTTAAATATTACTCAGATCTTTCATCAGAATAGACTAATCTCTGAAAACAAACATGTTCTCTGGACAAAGTTAAAAGGGACCTTATATAACATTATTGCAACTGAGTCTGATTCCTGTGGTCTTTATTCAGCAATTAAGACTACAACTTTGAGGAAAACACTTAATATATTAGTAAAAGACAGCCATAATTAATTTTTTTTTATTTCTTCAAAAATTCCCTATGGGGTTTTAAAGACTTTGACTTGGGTTTAAGGGTTTTCAATTTCAAGCTGGATGACGTTAGGCAAACTTTTCAATTTTCCTGAGTCTTGGCTTCTTCAACATTGTGCTCAGGGAGTACTTCTTTCTGTCAATGAAAATCCCAATACAAACTATATCCTTTAATGTCTTACAGTTGTAAGACAAAATCAAGACACAAGATTATTACTTTTACTAACCTGCATTTGAAAAAATTAAATGGCTTTCCTAAGTCAGTAATTAGGTGTTTGGTTCATGTTTTTGATTGTTATTATAAATCTCTTTTGTACCAGCCTCTATTATTTAAATTATTAGAATAACAAATGCTGTTCTTCAAAAGAAAAAAAAATTAATAGGTCAAGACCACAAAGTGATTCATAAAACTAATGAATCTGCTCTCTCTATAGGTCAATTCCAAGATTTTTTATGTATTGCTCATTATACAGTGACTTATTTTAATGAAATTAATAAATATCTTTTGGTCCATCAAGAACCAAAGAGAAGATATCAAAAGATTTCTAAATTTTTTAACATTAGTAAGCTCTTAGCCATCAGAATTATCACCAAAGAAATTCCTTTTTCAGATTTAAAGACTTATTTAAATCAAGATATAGATCATTCTGTTAATATTTTAAGATATGCTTTAGTTGGAAACTCTAATTTGAAATACAATGTTCTTTTCCAAAACTGGTTGTTTAAAAAAAAAAACCTCCACTTATTTTAGTTTGGAAACATGAAACTTTTCCTACCTTGAATCTATTGCAGCATCTAGTTTCCCTTTCCTTTGGAGGTATTGCTTCTGCTGTCTTTTTCAAATATTGATTTGAGTCCATCATGGAACTACCGATATCATGTGAGTGTTTCCAACTGTCGTTGTTGTTTGGTTTGAAATGATCACCTATTCAGGGAGAAAAAGGAGAACTTATTTCACTTTAACAATATATGATTCAAAAATAAGAAAAGCTGCAAGTTTGCCCTCAATCATTCAATAAACCCACTAATACTCATTCAGGGTCTTTGATGTCCTGAGCACAAGACTAGGTAAATGCTAGACACAAAAAGAGGGCAAACACACACACACACACACACACACACACACACACACACAGTGCTAGCTTTAGGGGGATTATATTTTAATTGGGAAGATAGATTTATGAAGAAAATTTGAAACAAGTAAATAACATAGAGTCACATACTAGATGAGATAAGAATTTTAAATCACAAAAATTTTAAATGTTTTACGTATCTACATTATAAAATTTAGGAAGGCAAATATATGTTTAATTCATCTTTATACTTTTACAAAGTGCCGAAGAGTGCCTTGCACATAGCAGACAGTCAAAATGGGTAGAAAAACAATGTAATGAATTATAATTATAGTGGCTGAGCCCAGAAGATTTCGTGGAAGAGATATCTCGAGAACCAGGTTTGAAATGCAGGTTGAGTTTGGATTTGCTAAAGAGAGCAAAGCATACTCTAAGTACCTCTCAGACAGACTCTAGCCATACTTGACCTTACCACCATCACGATCCTACTTTATTTTAATTTTGTTCATTTATTTTTGAAGAGAAAATGTATGCAGTTGAATATATGTAAAATATATGTAGTTGAAAGTACAAAATATCAAAAAGACATATCTTAAAGATTCTTCCTCTAGTCCTTGTCCACCCAGCATCCAGTTTCTGAGGACTAATTTGAGTTTTCAGTGACTATGATCCAGAAATATGATACATATTTTTAATTAAATACATAATAGTTTCCTTTTTTAACACAAATGGCAGCAGACCATTAATACTGCTCTCTACCTTTTTATGCTACTTTATATACTTTATATTTTAATAAATGACTTCCTCAGTTTTCTTATGGTTGTAGTTTATCCTATTATTTATAATATATCTAGCTAGTTACATGTTGATAAACATTTAGGTTGTATCTAATTATTTCATATTAGAACATTTTCTTAATATGTCATTTTATTTATGTGTGATAATATCTGTAGGACAAATTCTTACAAGTGGAGTTTTGAGGTCAAAATGCAAGAGAAATTATAATTTTGTAAGTTATTAAGCCTCTAATTTTTAATTTTTATTTTTTTAGGTTTTTATTCAAATTACAGTTAGTTAACATACAGTGTAATATGAGTGTCAGGTGTACAACATAGTGATTTAACATTTCCATACAACATCCGGTGCTCATCACAAGTGCACTCCTTAATCCCCATCACCTATTTAACCCTTCCCCCCACCCACCTCCCCTCTGGTAACCACCAGTTTGTTCTCTACAGTTAAGAGTCTGTTTCTTGGTTTGCCTCTCTCTCTTTGTTTTTTCCCTTTGCTCATTTGTTTTGTTTCTTAAATTCCACATATGAGTGAAATCATATGGTATTTGTCTTTCTCTGACTGACTTATTTCATTAAGCCTCTATTTTAAAGACTAGTAAAATGAGCAATTTGTTCCTTAGATTTGCTCTTTCATATAGAATAGTGGGTTCTTCACTGAGGTTTAGAGAATGTATTCTTATTCATACATATCTGCATAACACATACTTATGTATCTAAGATATTTATATACAGAAACACCCATAAGCATAGATAGATGATAATTAACAGGGCTGTATAATTACAGTTGATTCTTATTATTTGCAGTACTTGTGTTCTATAAAGTTGCTGCAAACAATTAGCGAAACCTGAACATGGTTCTTAGGGGAAATACAGAGGTTCCGGTATATCTCTGGTCACAGTATTTTCATCAACCAATCAATTTATAACCTTGCTTCATGTGTGCTTTTGTTTAAAGACATCTAATTTAAATATATTGTTGATCCATTAATTTTAAATTTGTGACTAACAGCACTGTACAGCTCATCCCTGAAGGAAGTGTCTGGAGCTCATATATTCTTTCCATTGTGCGCATCACAGCCTTCTTGCACTTAGGGACACTGGACAGCACTTTACACTATGCTTGGGAGCTGTTCAAACAGCAAAATCATCCAAAAAAAAGCACAAAAATAAAAAAATATGGCACTAAATAGACTGTAAAAACGTCGCTTGTTTACAATATGAGAGCCAAAACAAGGAAGCAGAGCCACATTTTGTCTGACCTCAACTGGGACCATGTGTGTTGGACAATTCTGATTTTTTGTCACTCCATACAGGCATATGAATGACCACAAAAGAGCAGCATTGATTTTGGGGTTACAAATAAATTTTAGTGAGAAGGCAAATTCACAAATACTGAATCCATGAATAATGAGGATCAACTATATATTTTATGTGTTAATTTATTCAATAAGGATTGAGTCCTTATATTACATATAAAGACCATGAATATATATAATGCCAATTTAATGGATGATATAGAATACAGAAATTATAAATATTTAAAGATATTATCACTTGTGTATATAAACATATGCATCAATGCAAAAATCCACATCTATGTACATCTAAGTAAATCCTAGTTATTCCACTTTTTTGCATGTTCTCCAAACATGCCTGTACCTATTCAGTTACTGAGTGGAGTGGAGTGAGGAAAAAATCACTAGTTGGGTGGTCCCAACGTCATAAGCAGTCCTTTCATAAATTTCAAGTTATTTTTTTCATGAATACCTCTTTCTGTATCTTTCCCCAGAATTTAAATGTTAGAAAGTCATTTTTTTTTAAGATTTTTTATTTATTTGCGAGAGAGAGAATGAGAGACAGAGAGCATGAGAGGGAGGAGGGTCAGAGGGAGAAGCAGACTCCCTGCTGAGCAGGGAGCCTGATGTGGGACTCGATCCCGGGACTCCAGGATCATGACCTGAGCCGAAGGCAGTCGCTTAACCAACTGAGCCACCCAGGTGCCCGTAGAAAGTCATTTTTTACCACTTAATTCTATGAATGCAAATCTCTCTGAATGATTGACATGGTGTGTCTATGCCCTTTAGCTTAGTTTTGTTTGTTTGTTTGGTTTTGTTTTTTGGCTACTGAACAAGAACTCTTGAAGGCCATTACCTGACCAGTCTAGTCCTGTTTACTGCAATTGATTAAATGCCAATTATCCTGTCTTTCAGCCTTCTTCCTGTTTTATATCTATCATATCCACCTTCAGAATCTTTCAGAGGTCCCCAGTAGCGAACAGAATAAAATTCTGATTTCCTATTTGAGATGCTTTGCGAACCAAACCCAGCCCTTGTTTTTAGTCTTATTTCCCAACACACCCATAGCTCCTTCAGCTGTGTGGAACCAACTGTCCCTAGAATACTCTGCCCTTTTGTATGTCCTTCTTAATCTATAATGTTCCTCCTCATCTCTTGGTTGTAATTCTGCCCCAAATCACCCTTCTTAGATATTTGTCCAGTTACTCCCAGTTGAAAAAAACCTCTCCACACTGTTGCTCCACTAGAGAATATAACTTGTAATATATTCATTAATTTTCCCTATTATTTCCACTACTTTCCCAGACAGGTTACTATTCCACACCTCTCTCCTAGATATTGAGAAAAACTATGCTGATAAAAAGTGGGAAATGTAGGCACTTTCCCCCCTCATTTCTGAGAAAGGTTAAATGGTAATAAGTGACTCCAGAGTAATTACAAAGTTGGAGTATCAATTTAGGTTTGGCTCTAAACACCACACTTTCTATTTCATCATGGCATTTTAAGCCTGACTCGGAGATTTTAACTTATTTTTCTCTGGACATATTTTTTTTCTCAGAGTCCCAAAAAACTGACATTTAAATGAATTTTGGGGACACAATATGTTTATAAAATAGGACCACAGGCATTCAGACGTAGCACTGCAATTCTTCCTTCAACAGAACAGCCCAGTTCTGCTTAGTTTCATTGGGCTGGAGAGGGAGCCAAAATCTCACCAGCCTCTCTTTACCTGTGTCAAGCTTTTACTGTTTGAGAGACCATAGAAAAGCAGTGCAAGCCAGGTGACCCAGTTTGTACTATGCATCCACGAAACCAGGAGGGAAAAAGAGAAAATAAATTTACTTACTTTTTAGACCTTTTATGGGAGGACTTTCCCCATTTTCTACCTCCCTTTGACAATAACAATTGTCTTATAAGGGTAGCCACCTTCCTGAATTGGAGAAGGGAACTAATATTTATTGAGTTCTTAGTTTGTGCCGGGAACCATGCTGAGCAATTTTTTTTTCTCATTCAATCAAAGACAGAATTATCTAAAAAACTTCTTTCTTTTTACTCACCTTGAGTCAGTCCAATGAGTTGAAACAGGAAAGTAGAGGTGGGTAAGTGACTTTGAGACACATCCCATTTCTTGATGTTTGCTAACTAACTCTCTACCCCATATTATCCAGTTAAGATGGAATAAAAAAAAATAGGGAATAAATCTAATTATTCCATGTAGTTAGTGAAAATAGTTGCCTTGTGATATATTTTGAGAAGGTGGCCAGAGATCCATTTTTTTTTTTAAACTTGAAGTTCCAGTTATCTAGAAAGTAATAGGAATGGGGTTTCAAACTTTATTTTTAAATTTCAATGTCTTATTTTCTGTATTTTTAAGAGTATATAAACCTGAGGCTCATCTATCTCCAGAAGGAATACTTAATGAGCTTTAAGGGCTTACACATAAGTGTGTAGAAGACACAAAGCATAACATGTGTAAAATTTATCATATCCATCAAAACATTTTTCCCCTTGAAATCTATGGCAGCTTCTCACATAGAAGAAACCCTGAAATTAGAGAATGTCAAAGGTTCTTACCTGGACTTAGAATCCCACAGCAGTAGCTACAAGTCCATCCTTTATCTGTTGTTAAAGCCTCTCTTTAAATAGTTAGCTGGCTTTTTTTTTTTTTTTTTTCCATCAGTTCAATGATGATTAACCATCTTATTAGGTCATTGTCCTAGTCAGAAGAAAATTAACTAGCTATTCTAACAGTCTGTTCCAGATGCTGGTATTTTAAAGGTTATATATTTTGCGCTGGTCTGTCTGTTTATAACCAATGCTACAATTGGACCCCTCTGGTTGGTTCTTATTATGATTTCAAGATGCCCATCAGCAATAACCATCAGGGAACTTTGAAAAAATAAAGGTTTATTTCTTATAGGACCTGGAATTTACACAGCATACATGGGGCCACACAGCAAGGTCATGGGTAGAAGGAGAGAGTACAAAGCTTGGGCTCTACTTTTATTGGGGTTGAGGTTAGGGGCTTAGGGTTTTACTGGGTCACTCTCATTGATGAATTTAAAACATAAGAGTCAAAACATAAAACTCAGGAAAAGAAAAACAAAAATGACCCGAATCGTCAGTTATTGAAGTCAACCAAGATTGCTAAAACAAAGATGCCTCAATGCTGGGGGCAGTGGCCTGGCTCCTTATCTATAGTCAGTGGCTGACAGTGTATTTATTTGAGATAGCCCTCTTTGAAATGAATGCTTTGGCAATCAAAGCTTAAGCCAGACACGTGTATTACAAAAAAGAAAAAAAAAAAAGAGTTTACACTACATTATATTAATAATTTCTCAGAATTTATCAATTATTTTTATGTAAAAGTTTAATTATTAAGCTTTGTTGCTGAGAATAACATATTTGCTTGAGTTGGTTGCATAGTATTTTTTCCTTCAAAATTAAAACAGATTATCCAAGATATTTAAAACTCCTCCAAATAGAAAAGAATTCAAAACAGTTTTTTAAATGTGTCTACAGGTTCCTTTAGCATTTAAGATAAAATATGTTCTTTTTGGTGGTGCCTGGGTGGCTCAGTCGGTTAAGCATCTGCCTTCGGCTCAGGTCCCTGAGTCCGGGCTCCCTGCTCAACGGGGAGGCTGCTTCTCCCTCTCCCTCTGCTGCTCCCCCTGCTTATGCTCTTTCTTTCTCTCTGTCAAATAAATAAAATCTTAAAAAAAAAATGTTCTTTTTGCTTGACAGTTTGGTGCAATTCTAATATGGCATTGATGAGTACTGGCTATTATATAGAGAACACTGTATGTATGTGTGTATATGTATATGTATATACACACACACATGCACATACACATGCATATATAGCAATGTGAGGATGCATATATGAAAACATTACCCCTTAATCACTTCTTTTTTTTAAAGGTTTTATTTATTTATTCATTCATTTATTTATTTATTTATTTTGAGAGAGAGAGAGAGAGAGAGCATGAGTGCATGAGTTGGGGGAGGAGGGGGAGAAGGAGAGAGAATCTTAAGTAGGCTCCATGCTCAGCACAGAACCCAATGCAGGGCTCAACCTCATGACCCTGACATCATGACCTGAGCTGAAATCAAGAGTCTGACACTTAACCGAGTGAGCCACCCAGGTGCCCCAACCTTAATCTCTTCTGTAAGACAATTGTTTGTACAGCTGTAGCAATATGTATTTAAGTTCTATATCTCAGTTATCTGATATATTTGTTCTGTCCTTGTTTATTCTTGGAAGTACTGGAATCATGGGAAGAACCAGAGATTGTGGAGAGGTAGAAGGGGTTGGGAATTCCCTAATTTCCCAAGGAAGGGGAACTGGGAAATGTAGACCTGGGGCAAAGAAAATTAAGGCCTGGGCTCCCAGGTAGTCTCTTGCTGAATCAGAATCTATAGAATGTCAGCATGCATCCCCCACACACCCCACTACCCCATCTCAAATCTCCCCACAAGAGATTCTGATTCAGCCGACTAAAGATTATGTGGGGTTTTTTTTAAATAAGCACTTTGGCTATTTTTTTATTGAACTCTAGATTCTGAGAACCATTACAGCAGAACTAGAGAACACTGTCAGGACATTATGGCCTTCCCTATTATGCAGAGTGGAAATCTGGCTTAGGTGCTCCCACATTAGTGATTTTCTTTTCAAATTTCCATTCCACCCAAGGTTCCTCCCAAAACTTTGTTTTGGGATAGCTATATAAAAAGAATGAAGGTAAAACAGAACAAATTAACTCAGAACATTCTAATCCCTAAGCTAAAGCCTTTTGGTGAAATCCTAAAGTATTTCCAGAGGTCAAAGAGCATTCTCTGTGTTCTTCCTTCCGCATGATGGTTTAAATATTAATTAGACTATTTTTGTTAAACTTGCGGAGGAGTAAGGTGGTCAGAAGAAAAATGCTAAAATAGTTCTTTCAAGATCCATATTATGGTAACATCATTGGTCAAGAAAATTGTAAAATTTGCTAAAGATAATCTAGTGATACTTATTTTAGAGATAATTGGTACAGTTCTGATGACATATCATGGTCTTGAAATCTGATAAACTTCAATGCCAATTTGTCTCTGTTACTTGCTAACAGTATGAACTTAAAGTTATTTAAACTTTCTAAGCATCAATATCCTCATCTATAAAGTACAAAGATAATACTTGGAGTAAGGATTAAATAATGTATGTGAAGTGCTTTACAGTACCTGACATCATAGTTCAATATCTATTGCCTAATAGTTCAATATCTACTGCCTAATTGTATGACATTTGTGTATTATAAATACTTAAAGCCATTAATTAATATCAAATTCATAAAAATAACATCTTAAGACATGTGCCTGCCAGTTTTTTCTGACAGTTTTTATTGCCAGAGTTCTCAGGTGGGTGCTACAGGCATGCTTCCAGAGGAAGCCTTCAGGCTCAGAGCAAACATGCTGCCACCTGTCTACTCCACTTTCCTTGACAGCAGTCAAGAGGCAGCTCTAGGAGGCTAGGTACTCCTGGAAAGAACCCAACATTTCTCTACTTACTGATGCTAAAGGCCTGGCATCATCATGATTAATCTCATCATAACCATTATCTCTGTAATGTTAGGCACCACCATAAGAAGAAAGGAATTTCCTGATTACTCTCATCACCTCCTGTCTAATCCCCTTTTGGCTCTGCACATCCCTGTTTTTGCCTCTCCCAGTCCTGAACTGAGACCCTTCTCTTGAGCCCCTTGGAACTTAGTGGTTAATCACAAGTAGAATTCCCTTTACTTCAGCCTCTTCTCTGAAATTTTTGTTGTTGTTGTTCATCTCTTGCTCTAAATTAAACCTGGCCCCTTCCCTGAAGCCTGCTTCTCCTGCTGCTGTGATCAATGGGGGCTGCACTATTCTCCATTTTGCTCCCTACCAGATGGAACTAGTTTTCAAGTTGCCTTACGTTGCTACTTCTTTTCTGTGTTGATACCTGCTTCCCTCAGAATCTATATTTTTGAATCTCATATCAGTGGAATCATCTACCAATCCTTAAATCACTCCCCCTTATTCTATGACCATTTTAGCTCTTGGTTCAAAGCCAATCTCTCAAAATATTAATGTCGTTATAATTATTGGTGATTTCCATGATTGTGAAGATAATCCTTTTAGTTCTCTGGCTTCTTGGTTTTTTTAACCTTCTCTTGTCCAGTGATCTTTCTTCTATTTAGTGGATATATCCTAGACCTTGTCACATGAAAAACTTCAACTTCCCTGTGAGATCAGTTTCAAGGATTGGTTTACCACTGTCTATCTTTCCAGCATATTCTCTGTAATACCCCAGATGCAACCATGTTTCACTAATCAGGATCTATATAATCCACTGGTTGATTCTACCACAGATTTCACTGCTCCTTGTTTCCTGTCCTCATTTTCATGCATATCTGGGTTGAATTTAGTGGTCATGGCAATCACTTTTTTTCCATATATCTTCAAGTCATTAGTAACTTTTGCATCATTTTAATTGCTTGACAAAACTACAACCTTGATGAACCCCATCTCTCAGACTACCCTGTCCATTCATCCATGCTACTGACTGGGGTTGAAGAAAAGCCTCAACATGTTAACTTTAAATTTATGATTAAGAAACTCAAATGAGCCTTTCATTTTGCATAGGTATTATGCTGCATTTTCCTAATTCATGTCACCTTGTTTTCTGACTATTTTATAACTTCACATCTCTCCTCAAAACTCTAACATATCCTCTCCTATCTTTACCTTCTGCTGATGACTATTTCACGGACAGAAAATGAAGAACAAAACTTCCAAAAGCTCCTTCTGTCACATTTATCTACCTATAGCATCAGTACCACATATTTTGCCTTGATGAACTGTCCATGCTAAAGCTAAGACCATCCTCCATTTGTGCACACAGATCGTCTCTCTTGTGTTCCCAAGGTTATCAATTTTCCTTCTCTAAAGAAATGTTCCCATCAGCTTATAAACATGTTCTCACTTTCCCACCTTCAAAAATCCCTCTTTTGATACCATTCCAAGTATTGTCCTATTTCTATACTATTTTTATTCAAAAACACCCCCAAAAAACAAACCCAAAAACTTCTCAAAAGTCTTATCTAGAATATTGCTTTCTATTCATTTTCTCACATTCTCTCTTGAGTACACTCAATCAAGTTTATACCCCCAACTCCATTCAAACTACTCTTGCCTAAGTCATAAATTACCTAAATGCGGTAAGGTAATGTCCTTTATCTGACTTGAACTGTTAGCCATTTTTCAGAGCTGAATATTCCCTTCTCCTGGAAACAGTTTTCAGGACACTATCCTTTGTGGTTAACTCATTGGTTATTCCATTTCCACCTCATTTATTAAATATTTTATATACCTTTGGTCTCTTAATGGGAATGTTTCAGGATTTAATTCCTACTTATTCCATGACGGTTTTATGAGTCACTCCCAGTTTTTCCATGACAACCTCAGGATTCAACCATTGTATTTTCGTGATCTCATCTATTCTCATATCTTTAATGCTCTCTATATGTTGATAATTCTAAAGTTTTTACCCCTGGTCAAAACTTTACTCCTGAGATTTTTCCTCAGGATTTTACATTTTTCCATTGCCTGTTCACCATCT